CCGTAAGACATTTAGAGTTTCTTTTTCCGCTCAGGTCTGTAAAGTTGCAATTCAAGAGAAAGTTAAAGTTAACATGCCATTAACTTCTTTTGCACATTTGCAAGAAATATTTTCCTATGTTGCAGCTATTCATATTTGAATTTCTCAATATGCATATCATATGCCACTCATGGATTTAGAGGGAATCAATTAAGATCCCCCCCCCCCCGTCCTTTTTGTGACTAATCTGTGTGTGTGACTGATTTTCCGTCCCATTACAAAGTAAGAAAGAAAAAAGTCTTAGATATACATTTTATAATGGAAAAAACTGTATAGTCCTTCGTCGGTCAAGAAAACAAGTATTTAATAAAGATACACTACCTCAAATAGAAGTTTAGAATTGTTAGGGTAGGGTGGTGTACTTCGACCACCTGGTTAATTTCGACCGTTCTTACATTTGTATATACCTTACTATATTTTGTTTATGGCGTAAAATTGTGTATGTATGTTTATATTATGCAGAAAGAAAACGTATTTTTTATATATTGTGTCCAAAATAATTTTATTTCCATGCGCGTTATTAAGATCGTTTTTGGAAAATTACATCAAAGAATAGGCTTTATCACCCGAAAAATTTCAGAAGAGTATATTTTTGATACTACGGCGAACTATCACCTCTGAAAAAGCTTGCATGGAAAGACAATCGATGGATATCCCTGACGTGAGATTTATCAAATATTATTTTGAAAATGAAATTTATACCCTTTTAATTTATAGTATTTAGATTTTATAAATGAAATTGCAAACCAGCTAAACAGAAATCGGCCGAAGTTATCCGTACATGAATACGGCGGGCGTCAGTGGGTAATTTCGACCACTGTAAAATGACACAATTTATTATCTGTTTTATATACATGCGATATCGATGCCTGTACATGTACATTTGTAGCATGCCTTAATCAATATGGCATATCAGCGTTATAGACATCTGGTGCACTCGATGTCTTCGAATTTAGGTACATTTCGAAAACTGTCATTTTTTGCTAAGTATTTTTACTCGTTTTTTATGCTGTACAGCAGTAAAATTTAAATTAATATCTTTTTAAACTATATTAGAGCTGACGCCAATTATCTCCTTTGTATTATCGGCGAAAATACCCCGTTTGCGGTCGAAATTACCCAACACACATATCTTATAAATCTAATGCATTTCTTTCATATTATGACCACAAATATAGCCAATCGCAAAAGACCTAAAGGATTACATTGTTTGTGACGAGCTGACGCTTTGCTGTCGAGAACTTTAAATTCTACACATTGTCACACACATCAAAGGACGTAACCGAGAACGCGTCTCTCCCACGATAAAGTCGGTCAGCTGCAATACACATCGCCGACGTTTAACGGGTTTACAAAAGGGGACAGAAAACACAAATCTTATTAAACAGTTTAAAAAGAGCTTTATATTATATGCCTTTTTTATCCATAATAAATTAAAGCCGTGAAAATTTAATTTCATAGCATTTACCATTTGTGTATATTTATATATGCATAAAATGATGTACATGATTAATTTAAATTGCTGGATTTTATATTCGTCCTGGTCATTCTTGGATTGTGTAGTATTTTAATTGTTTCAAATCACTAGTACTGTTGATGTGAAATGATTTTTCTGTGGAAAAGAGAAATATTCCCTTTAAGTATGAAACCATGAACTTGAGACTTGAGAGTTTAGTATACATAGATTTTTTTTTTTACATGTATACCCCAAACAGCCGTATTATACCAGTATAATATGTACTTGTACTTTAAGTATCCATATATAAAAGAACATTTCTGTCAAGAAGAGAAGTATGCCTGTTCACAATTGTCAATAATGATGTCAAAATACTAAATTAGAACGGATGCATAGTTTTGCTTTAAAAAATACACACATGAATAATAAATCTCTCTCTCTCTCTCTCTCTCTCTCTCTCTCTCTCTCTCTCTCTCTCTCTCTCTCTCTCTCTCTCTCTCTCCAGGAAACGTTTCAGTGGATATATGTATTTCACTCTGTTGTATCAGTGATGTTTAAAATATGATCAGGTATTTTCGTTAATTTAGCACTCAGTCTTATTTTTTAATTATCAGTATATAAGCACATATTAAATCCATTCTGATTGATCATATACGACATACAATGAAATTTTCTCCCATAAGTTTCAACATTCTTGGCACTGTGTTTCTTGAGATGATTTTTAAAACATGTCAGCAATTGCAAATTTTCACATTTTATGAATTATCTCCTCTAAGAAATCGCCCTTCATTCGAATAGATGAATACCGTTTACCAAAAAATGCTTTGTTGCAAGTTTGCTTGGCATAAAGAAGAATCGAAAATGAAAAGTTTAAAGACGGATAAACAGACGTCGGGCAAAATGTGATCAGAAAAGGTGACTTGAGCTTTCAGCACAGGTGAGATAATAAAGACCAATTGATATTAACTTTGTTGTGTTACATACAGCACAGACAAGTAAATTGGCGACAAAAGTATAAGGGGAGGGGGTATGCTCTCGTTTAAATCCGATTCGTTTTTTTCCTTCAAATACGTTAGATCTCACGGGCACATAACATAAGGGCCAGTCGACCCACCCTACTTTTTTTTTTCGTTTCAAACAGTCATAAAGTTCGCAGGTTCATTGAAAGGCTTTACGTTTTAAGATACTTTACAACCGCTTAAGTAAACAGTACATGTCGTGAAAATTAAAATTTATTGTTAATTTTTTTAATATTTTTTTAAAGGCTTATCTAGGAATTAGATTTAGGCTTTTTGACATAGGCGTGAGCGGAGAGTGTGTGTGTGTGGGGGGGGGGGGGGGGGGGGCTTTTCCAAAGTTAGATTAAGTATAGACATTGAACATTGCTGCGTAGGTATAACCACGAAATAGGAGTTTTGTGTTTGGAAAATACACATCCCTTGTTTTTGTTTGTGTGCGTGCGTGTGTGTGTGTGTGTGTGTGTGTGTGTGTGTTTTTTTTTTTTTTTTTTGCTTCTCATGTAATTTTTGGGAGGTCTAAAAAAAAAATGGTATTTATGTGTACCTTGTAGTACATACAACATTCGTTAAAACTTAAAAATAAATTGAACTTCAATCGTTAAAATTTGAAGGTAAATAGACACGTCTTCCCTCTTTATCTTTCTCTCGAACATACACACATCAATTTTTCACCGGTATATATTGTACCAAATTGCAACAGTCTCAGCATGCATGACTTGGGTTGATACGCATAACTAATAAATCTTATGATCAATGAATCATGCACTACTCGACTTTTATACTTGTTCGCAAATATGAAAAAAAGTAAATTTTGCGATAATAGAATAAAATAATCGACCAATTAAAATATTCGTAATGGACTGAAAAAAATCTTTACATGTTTAAATTCAAGGTTTAAAAAAACTTTTTTTTTAATTCAAGGTTAGAAAAAACTTTAAACTTTGCATGTAACATTTGAAAGACGAAACTGTCTACTCTATTTTTTGAACCCCGAAAACAAGCTGTATGTTGCAGCTGACCGACTTTATCGTGGGAGAGACGCGATCTCGGTTACGTCCTTTGATGTGGTGACAATGTGACGTAGAATTTAAAGTTCTCGACAGCAAAGCGTCAGCTCGTCACAAACAATGTAATCCTTTAGGTCTTTTGCGATTGGCTCTATATACAAAATCGTTGTAATCTGAAAGATAAAAGCTATTTCAAAGGTTAAAGGATCCATTCAAAGTTGTAGCATAACATAACAGTGACATAATCTTAAGTACAAATCTTAAGTACAAAAAAATAATCGGTCGAAATTACACCACCCTACCCTAAACAAAATATTTATGTTCCCCAAACGAAGTTGGGGAACATATTGTTTTTACTCTGTTTCTTATTATTATTATTTTTCTTCTTCTTCTTCTTCCTGGGTACTTTTTTGTCCGGGAAATGTAAACTATACATCTGACTAAGGTGAAATGTTTTTAGGGAGAGATGTTATGTAGATTTGCAACGAAGGTCATTTTGCGTGCACGTGCTTGCAAGAGCGTGCACGTGCAACATGTGAAATGACCGATTTAATTGATATAGGCGTAACTTTTTAAATTTTTGATGAAATGCTTTGAAACTTATAACATAAGGATACATTAGTAGCATAGACAATATGACATGGTCAAAATAGCAAGATCTCACGCGCATGCAAAAAAATATCTTTTTGTTTTTTGACGAAATCCTTTGGAATTTTGAAAATAGCCATGCATTAGAATATCCTACAACAAGATATATAGCAATTATCATGAAAACACGTGCATGCATGTGCGCTGCAATCTGATTGGCTGAAACTTTAAATAGCTATAACTCCTTTGATTTTCAATCAAACAGGATGGGATTTGGAACATATATGATCTACTACAAGAAAATATGTCATCATGCACATTACACGTGCATGTATGTGCGCTGCAATCGGATTGGCTGAAACTTTAAACAGCTATAACTCCCTTGGTTTTCAACCAAACATAGAACCTAGATAGATGTAAAGGACATCTACAAGAAGGTATGGACACACACGTGAAATGAGCAAAATAAAAAAAACACTTGAATGAGCGCATCTTTTTAATACTTTTGAATTAAATACTTAAATATTTAGTTTATTAAAATATATATATAGATTGTGTAGACAAGATGATATGGTCATTACGCTGATGCATTCACATGCGCACGCGTGCATTGCTTAAATTTGAATGAAATTGGTACACTTCTGGGTAAACGTTGTTAAAGTCTCAAATGCATAAAGTTTGTCTTATTTAATGAAGCTTATAGGGAATATGGCACCGAGAGGGAGTTGGGGAGCGTTTGGGGAACATCTGTAACGGTCCCCGTTACAATTAGCACTAGTTTACCTATTGTTCGTGTAATGAATATCCTAAGAGAGATGTCATTTAATTCAAATAGACTTCTCCTCAAAGTATACACAAGTAAGGTAAAACGAAAGTAGAATAAAAAAAATATTTGTTTACATCTCGTATCCAGGTCGCCATTTAATTCGTGTTTGGAAATGTAAGTATTTCTAACATATATTTCTATATGTCTTTTTATTTAGAAAAATAAATTCTGTCACACATTCCTTAAGTGACACACACCGTGCCGTTACACAATTTTCTGGCAACCATTCGCCTTGAATTAATTATGGAGTTTTAAAACCATTATAAGAATAAGTTGTTTTATTTAACTTTGTGTGCGTATAATCAAACATATTTTGTAGCAACATCAATTCAGAAAGTTCCATATTTTGATCAGCAATATGTCATTTCTTTTTATATTCATTTTCAATGTTTATTTAGGAGGTAATTAAATTCTTTCTTGAGTTTTTGATATTTTTCTATTGAATAGAATGTATAGAGTATTCTGGAATTCATATAGTCATATCTGTCAGCGCTTTAAATACCATGTACTGATTTTGAGCGTATTACTTCAAATATTAATATTTTTTCGCTCACCTATTTCTTACAAATGACAACCTGGACAAAGCGCACATACTTGGACAGCACGAATATTTGCTTGGGGAATGTCGTTTGTCAACTTTCATAGAAAACTATGAACAGAATCTCATAAAAAGCAACCTATATTTCAAACTACATTTATAGTGTATGTAAATTTTTTAAAGTCAATTAAACAAAATAAAATTGGAATTGGGCAAACGCGGACTTTGAAAACATATGAGGTTGGATCAGTTGCCAAAATGATGAATTTGAATTGTACTGCTGATATTCTTGCTTCATCAACTTGTTTGTCATTAATTTACCTTGTTTTAGAAAATTTACATTCATGTCGCTTTTGCGTATCAAACCAACAAGGGGTTTTAATGAGAATGAAGTTATATTGCTGTAGAAATAAAGAAAATTGAATTTTAAAATGCATCACTTTATCAAAAAGCTTGGTTGTTAGATTACCTATAACGTCTTTTTCAAGTAAAATATCCAAAAATCACATTAAAATGTGATCAGAAAAACTTGAGCTCAGATAACGGTTAGAGATTGTTTGCAGTGCTTGTCAAGATGCAAAGACCAAAATATCCTTAGTAAAAGTATGAGAGACACAACCTGTATGCCTAATATGTGTATAATTAAATCACAAAAGAAAAATTAAGGACAGCATAAAACCTCATTTAGATAAGTAATCCGAGGGAGGACTGGAAAAGTACTATAATTAGCTCTGAGCCGTCTCGAACGGCTGACGTCACAGTGATTAAAAAAAACAACTAGTTTTTAAAGCTAAAGAATCTATTCTTTGAGTTATATTATGTTAAAACTAGAAGACCAGCAGAACAATAAATGGATTGTTAAACAGAATGAATAAGGCCACACAATTACTGGTAAATGTTGCTGCCAACACAACATTAATACGTGTACCGGGGTACCTTAGGAAATGAGAGAGAAGTTGCCTGCAAGGTTGCAAATTTTCCTTTACCCATTGCAACTTCATGGAAGTCTCCCTAATTTCTCTTTGAACTTATATTTTGAATTGACTATCCTCCATTGCTATATTAACATATTAACAATTCAGTTATGATAATTTATTTGCGACACCGACCTTGGTGGGTTTTCTTTTCGTCATCTTCTTTCTTGTGCAACAAATCATATACAGTTGGCCTTTGATATCCCAAACAATGATTTACCAAAAGCCATGGATAGGTCGAAATGATCCGGAAGTCCCATCCAATCTCCATATGTCGAACATTTCAAAGTGTTTGTTGTGTTTTTTTTATTTTGTTTTTTCAGGATTCAATATGATAAAGAAGTAAAACCCTCCAAGAGATGTGCATAATACAGTTATTTATCCCCGTAATTCTATCTGTTGTTGAATGTTTGGTAAGTATTATACACGTGCCAGATAGTTGTATGTCTTCAATCTATTCATTATCATGTTATCATATCTCAATATCGTATCACACAATAAAGAATTACCTTTCCGCTCGTTATTATCGCTAGCTAAACAATGTTGAACAAAATAAAGAAGAATTTGCATTTTTTTTAATTGGACTTGTATTATTTTGCAGTAATTAATACACACTTGAATACACGTTGTTCCTGTAACAAGACCTTTTCTAAAATATTGAAAGAGTTTAATTAATGCAGAGACCTATGTGGTGTCTTCAGTCATTTGAATCTTTTCTTTTCAGTCTCACAAAATATAATCCATGAACTACATGAAAAGTTATGTTAACTGCCTACTTAAAGTAGTTTGTTTTGAGATATGTAAAAGTTATGAACAAGCATTATTGTTTCACAATGCTACAAAAATGAGTTAAAAAGGAATCATTTTAGGGACAGACGGGATGCCTTTCGTCTGTGCCTACAGTAAGCAATGTACATCGATGTCCTGGAAACGTCTCAGAGTGGGTCAAAGCCTCTGAAAGAAAGAGGTGTTCGCTTGTAAGACAAAACTGTTCTTCAGATTCTGAGTTCCAATATCACTGTCTCATAAACGCAGAAATAAATGGCATGGTAGAGGTATGCATCCCGATACGACGCATTGTGGGTAAGATTATGCATTTGTTTACCAAAAGAAAAATAATTTTTAAAAAGAAGTGTAAAAAAAAAATATTATTTTTGAGAAATGTTCTTATGTTTTTGAAACATTGTGTGAAATTTTACTATAACGTTAATTAACGTTTGTTCTTTTTATGTACAAAAAGTCACAGGTTTTCATAAAGCCGTGCCTTCGCAATAGGCTCAGACCAATGCTTTTTTGGCATATTTTAAATTAATTTTGTAAGACGTCATTAAATTTGAAGCACTAACTACGGAAAATCAATGGAATATAGACGTTCAAAAACGGGAGCTTTTTAAAACTGAATTTATTTTTATATAGCTGTTTTATTATTACAAAACTCATATACTTATTGAAATAACGTATAGTACAATCCACTTTGTACTGAATAAGATTTGGTCCCAAGGATGGATGGTCCCGTGATAAATGTTTAGTTTCTGTACTGGATGGGGGCCATGAACAAATTTTAAAATCGCAAGGGCATACCCTAGTTAAAATAAAGCAAAACAAGCTATTATCGGTTTTGCATTCTTTGTGTATCAGGTAAATGCTTCTGCTTTCAAGAGAATTCACATTTTATTAGTAAAAATTTCATGTTATTGGGCTCATATCGAAATACTAGTATGATTGACCTTGATAAAGTAAAATATGCGGTCATTAAGTAACCCTCTGGATTTAAAGAAAGCAGCAGCACTTTTGAAGTTAAGGAAATATCTAAAAAAAAAAAAGATCTTTTAAGTTAATGCCTTTGGGTAAAAGGCAATTTAATTAGACAAATCGATGTTAAAAACTGTCAAACAAAAACACAATAAAATTAATCAAATACACTTTATCTGCCGCTCATATGAAATACGCCTTTTTTTTCAAAATGATGTTATTCCGACAAGTTCTTTGCGATCAATGATTTTTTTATAGCTTGCTATGTGAAATTCATCTACCAAACTTCTTTTAATGCATTGAAATTTTTTAGGGTGTTTATTATGCTACACTGTAATGCAGGTTAAATTGCAAATTATTTCATTTTCTGGTATTATGCGCTATAACTATTTTTGTGTGTTGTCACAATAAACATTCCTCGTAAAAACTAGGCCCTGCCCTCTTTTTCTAGCCTTAACAATGCTGTGTTTATTAAATTGTCTCTGGCACCCCTGTGTAATGTAAGCTATATTTGTAGTATGGGATTAACTATTAAATGCAATGGTACACAGCAGTTATTTTTATAATTCAGCTTCATGTACAGTATATGATTTTTATTTTTGAGCTAGATAGTATTATGTGTTATGTGTTGTGGGCATCACAGGTCACACCAGTCATGAGGTCTTTGCATTCGTAAGTAAAACTAAAAAATCTCAGTTAACATAAGACAAAAATAGCCTAACAATTATTATAATACATTTAAGTCAAATCTCGACCTTCTGAATTAGCAAATTTCTATAACGTTCAAATATTGTGCGAATTATGAGGTCGATGACAGCCATATCTCGCCAGCAGCGTGTGTCGTCCTAAAAAATAGGCGTAGACAAAGCATGTCTTTACATTAGAAAATCAGGTTGAAGACCATTTAAAAGTTAAAGTGAAATGTTGATGCTTGGAAATCCAAGGTCACCAATTTAATTATCATTTATTTTGTTAGATTACAAATAATTGTAATAATAACATATATTGTAGCGTAGTGTACATAACTATTTACTAGATTCCAATTGTATGACTTCTTTCATTTCTAGGGAGTTTCTGTCCATTTTATGACTCGAAGAAAGCAAGAATAGAGAACCACTATCATCTGTCTTGTAAAGAACATAAATTCAACTGTCCAGAGCATTACCAATCAAATGAGGCATATAAGTGTAAGATTACACTGCAAATTTATTGTCATGTGCCGATTTCCGTTTGTTTACTTCTCAAATTTTCAACTTTTCTTAAGGAACCACTGGCTGAAATCCAACCAAATTTGCAATAAAGCATCCCTTGGTAGAGAGAATTTAATTTCTTCTCAAAAATTGCCACCCCCTCTTTAAGGGAAAATCATTCAAAATTCGTAAATATTTGATGAAATCAAGGAAATATTTTCAAGAATTATCTTGTTAGAACAACTATGCATTATTAGTGATATCAATATAGTTGTATCAACAGAATACAGACGTTTCTTTAATTGGATTATGTAGATTTTAATTTGTTCAAATAATGACCACTAGGCTACTGGGGATGGGGGTGGGTGTAAGAATTTTATCTTAGGAATATCAGTGGGTTTGTTAACTTTACAAAAGTTCAATAACTCATCTATTATATAGATAAAATTCAACTGTTTATTTTTTTTATTTTTATTTTTTTTTTTGGGGGGGGGGGTGTATTCCAGAACATTAGCGATAGTTGTGCAATATACTCTAGCATGCTAGATGTTCATGGTGAGAAACTCCGCCGATGAAACCCCTAGTGAGCGATAGTCAATTGTTGAAAAAGAAATCCGAATTTTAACAATAACATATGTCACATCAAATAAAATATTCAGTTTTTTTATAGAAAATTTACACGTAAAACAATGTTACTCTTTTATATAAGGGATAATTGCAACATTTTCTATAGAAGGAGGAAAGAGTCCTCTGTTTAACATTCGGGAATGAAATGCAAAAAAGAAATGGAAACAGTTTTTCAGGTATTAAATAATAGGACATTTTCTTTTCTGACTACCAATCCGCAAAATTTTAGGTGAAGTTAAATCGAATTCTTTTCTTGTGAATTATAGAATTCGAAATTAGGGATGGTAATTTGCAATCGATTAACCGATTCATCGGTCGGAATGATGGTAACCGGTTAGAATATTCGTAATCACATAGTCGAAAGAAATACAACGATAATAACTTTTAGCAACATTTTTCTAAAAGAATCATTTTGAGAAAGGTATCATCTTCAAAAAAGTAAGTAATTAACTTAGCATTTAACCCATCGTATAATTAAGCTAAATTGGAATTAATAATAATACCCAAAGATATTTAGATTACAGGGTATATTCGTTACATAGACTGTCCTTTGATATCATAAAAGTCAAATTTTGCAATAAAACCAGCATCCGTAAGCTTATTTCCGTTTTCTCTCCCTCTCCAATGAATACATTAGTAATCTTTGCCAAAGAAAAATCAACCTTGAAATGGTACAGATTTTATTGAGTAAAGAGTCATAATTTGTTTTTTTTTTGTTTGTTTTTTTTTTTTTTTTTGTTTTGTTTTTTGTTTGTTTTTTTTTTTTTTTTTTGCTTGAATACAATTTACATTGAACTTATGCTGAGTTTGACACGAGTAAAGAAAAAAAACTCCTTAAAAATCTACATAAATACAACACAATTAAGTTATTGGCTTTATCACACAGATCAGGGTTGCTATTCGGCTGTCTTTGGCCAGGAGTTTACAAACAAAACCAAACGAGGGGAGAATGTAAATGATATCCAAATTTTCCAGTAAGTTTGTGAACTGTTTGAAAGGGTGTGTAAAACTACAAAATATTTAAAAACTAGTCGAATTAGCCTCTTGTTTCGGTATATTTGTATACCTAAAGATACTTTCTCTTTTTCTACAAATAATGGATTCATTTGGATTCAACATTATTAAACATAAGCAAAATCGACCCTAAAAATTCACTAGAATGTGTACTTAAAAAAATGATTTTATGTGACATATAAAACGATCAATGATTGCAAAATGTTCATCTTCGAAAATTACTCTTATCTATAGCTCATACCTTTTTCCTATATTGTGTTACATTGTATATTCATGCGGAATTTTCTGTAGAAAAATAGGAGACAAAATGGTAGATATACAAAAAGATACCTTCTGGACAGTGGTTGCAATAGTTTGTGCAGTCGTTTTTCTAATGATCTTTGGAGTGTTGAGCATGGTTCTAAAGTTTATAAATATAGAAACAAAGAATGCATGTAAGTATGAACATTTCGAAAGTGCAATAGAAATAGAGTTTTGAAATTCCCTAAATTAAAACAAACACATTATTCAGGAAATTCAGGAAAAAACTGCAAGTTACATGTAATATTACCAATGCATAGGTATGGAGTGTTGGCCTCGATGCTACAAATGTTGCTACAAAGTTGATAGTGTACAGAATAACAGTATGGAAATGAAGGAAAATGACAAAGAAAACAAAGAAAACGACAAGGAAGACAAGGACGACACGAATGAACGATTACTAAGTGATAAAGAAACTGGAAGCAGTGATAATTCTTGAACATTTCTTAGGCAGCATGTCAAGAAGCACTTTTGGTGATGTTGGTGATGAATTTATTTAAGAAGCAATCTCATTTATTTATTGATCTATTTATTTATTTATTAATTTATTTATTTATTTATATTGACAAGCTAAGATATTCAAAAGCAGAAAAAAGAAAAGATTAAATGCACAAAGTTCTACAGATAATATTACAATTTTGTAATTTAAAACAAGGAGCGATAAAATTAAAGAGAAATCAATATAAGGTGAGAAATCAATGACTTTAAAATGTTAAGATACTGTACATTGCTTCAATATACAGTATTACAACAACATTTTTTATTTATATTTCACTTTAACAAAGTTGTTCTTTACGTATGTGGTCATATGTGTGTGTTTGGGGGGGGGGGAGATAACTTTTATACCTCTCTATAGCCATAATTTTGTTCAGATTTTTCTGTTGAATAAAATTGCCTTGATTGGTCTCAAAAATAAACACACAACTCGGTATATATTTTTTTCTCTCTTAATTAGATAACTATTCTTCACTTACACAGCGTAAATAGGGCAATACTTAGGATTCTTGTCCTAATGACAATATTATTATTTATGCGGAAAATATTTACTAAAGCGTCAACAAAATACCACAAAATGAAATTATATGCTATTTTAACCCACTGGGTAGTACTATATTGCATATTATCTAACTAGATTACATGCAGTTTTGTCGTTTGTTAAATCCATGCACACAACAACATCTAAATATTTCATGGATTGCAATGCACATGTCAAATGAGACGTCATTTCGTAGACATTGATGCAGTTTGTATATAGAGTGAGGCTGGTGAAGTCACATCTTGTACAAGAAACATTTCTTTTTATCAAATGAAATAATCTTTGCATAAAAATAAATGGTTAATTTCTTGGATGAGATGTTTATTTTACTATTTTATTATTATAATATCCGTTTATTCTCCAAACAAGTTTAATCTGCTTTGTATTTGCAAGCAGATTCATTACAAAATCAGTAGAAGGGTCCTATTAAAACGGTGTATTGCAACGGCATACCATCGATGAATGTTGCCCAAGGTTTTACATATAAACTCATAAAACATGAGAGATATTTGAAAATTAAAGTTTTGCAAATATCATGAAGTGTTGCAAATAAATTGATGATACTTATATTTAATGTAGTTGCCTTGACTTAACATAGCAATCAAATAGTGTATCAATATACATAGTAAGTTTGAAGCACTTTTTCACAAAAGACCTATAGTGTTTAAAACAATTATAAAATAAAGGAAGATTTTTTTAAATTTGGTTCTGCCCTTGCAATATTGGAATTCAAAGATGAACTCTAAACTCGAAATATATTTGCTAAAATTATGTGAACCTCACAAAACGTGTCAAATTTAATTTAAAAAATCTGAATGTCCACAACATGTACATTTGTACGGCAAAGAAATTCCGATATCAGTAGAGTTCTAAAGTTGTGCATCATTATAAAGTATTAATCTTTTTTTTTTAATCTAAAAAAAATCGTTGATATTTCGTTGATATTTCCATTTTCATCTTTTAACTGTGCCTAAAAATTTATTTTTAATTATTTTAGCCTTATTTTTTTTAAAGAGTCTGGTAGTATTAAAAGAAAGTAACAGAACAATGAAAATCATTAAGTTATATCCATACGACCTTATTTAAAGGACCGATATGCTGATAAGATAGATAATTAACTTATGGATAAAACTCTGCCCATGTGTGTAATGGGTATTTTGGGGGATTTTCAGATAAAACAAAATTATCTACAAAGAATGTTGATTAGCTTTAATTTTGACAATAATATGTACATGTGAAGGAGCATTTTCACATAATATATGAATACTAGCTGCTTGATCGATATGAATAGATTTTCCTTTAGATTTGACATGTGATGTCGAAGTAATATAACATTAGCATAAATACACGCATAATTGAATGCATTAATAAATTCTAATATTTAAAGCAAACTATTAGTTAGATTGCATATTTAATTTTCACTTAAAAAAATATCTTCAACAATCTTTATACTTGAAGATATTTTTAATCTCTGTACATTGTGAAAAATACTGATAACGTAGTACTACATACATAGATTCCAGTCTCTATATATGAGATATAGACATACGCAATTGTTATAAAGATCAGAAGTTCATTAAAACAATATACATTTGAGGAAAAAAAATCCGAATTTCTTAAGAATTTCTTAAGAAATTGAATTAAAATGTTGGGATCAGGTCAAGTAAAAATCAGTCACAACCGCCTTTTTTCCTTTTTTTCTTTTCAGGGAGAAGGGGGTATGTGTACAATTTAGAGTGTTACATACAATAGCCTTATAATTAAGATGGAAAATTTGAGCTCAGAAGATTGAAAAGAAAAATATCAGCATTTAACTAACCGATATACTATTTTGCTGACAAGGTCATTAAATTGGTCATAGAACTTGCAAATTGATGTCTTTAAACGAATTTATAGAGGTGTTTGTTTTATTGACTTGTTTTAAAAATTGTTCATTTTTGCTCATATGCAACCATTATTTTGTTAGAACATGTATTTGTATTTAATATTTTGATAGAAAATGCTTAATTTAAGATATTAAATTAATTCTTTAGATGTGACACAAAACGATGAGATTGCTGCGACGTATGCTGGTACTATATGTATTTAATTGATAACTAGATGTCATTGAGAAAAAACACAGGCGTTCAAGTTCAAGGAGAATTTAATATAAGTGAGCAGAGGGTTATGAACATTAAGATTTTTTATTCATTCATCCGTCCAAAGTTATTGTTCTTTTATAAATCAATGCTTAAAACGAAATCACCTCTGAGTTTGTATTGCATTTATCCATTTCTATAGGTTAAAACAAAATAAATAAAATCAACGATAGCACTCACTTAAAGACATCTGAACTTCAATTAAACATTAAAATTATTACTTTAAAATCTCAACATGAACATTGAAATTGGAAACTTTTAAACCACATTATTTCCCATTTATGCATCGGAACAACATTCAAATTTCTTTAAAGTATTAGAAAGGGTCTCAAAAAAGTTGACATGTATATTTTACGAAAAAAAAAAATAAATACAGTTTCAGAGAAAAGGGATTTTTTTCAAAATCTAGTCTTAAATATCAATGCGTATTATCATGATGTGAAACTAGAGGTACTGTGAGCAATGACCTCAGTAAATGATATCTTCCGCCTCACATAATGTCCATGTTTTGCTATTAATTGTTGTACGGTAACGTGTAAAGAGGAATAACTCGTTTGTATCTAATGTTATTAAGAAGCCGCCATATCTGACCCTTAGGTAAGAATACGATCTATAATGGCAAAGTCTATGTTTTGCAATGGGAAACCTAAAATACGTGT